GAGCGAGTCGCAAACACCAATGACGTGGCAGAGAAGATGACGCGCGATGTGCGACGCCTTGATGTGATTCAATCTCGTCTGAGCCTGGCGCTTGAGCAGTCGGCACAGCTGCTGGCTTTGCGCAATGCTCTGACAGGCATTCGACGTGCCATGCAACAGCATAGATACTCAGAGGCCGCAACTTTTCTCCAAACGCTGAAGGAAATTGAGCAGCATACGTCGCTTGACGTTGCTGACAAGCTTCGACTAGATACTGTCGAGAACGACCTTAAACGAGTCGTTGAGGGCGCTTTTGAGGATGGCCTACGCGCTGGCGACAATCAACAAATACAGACATACGCACGTTTGTTTAAAGTGGTCAGCAAAGAATACGAGGAGCATGGCTTTGTGATGCTATTGAAACATGCACAGAGGACATTGATGCATGCGCTGAAAAGGGATACATATTCACAAATTGGCGTGTTTAGTATTCAGGAGCTGATAGCGCACCTTGCTGAGGTTTTTAATCTCGTCGCACGAGAAGTTCAGCAGTATGCTGGACTGCTGTCGCAGTGTTTTGAGAGAGTACATGGCCCAAGTCGTTTTGTGGTGAAGCTGTATAATGTGGGAGAACAGACAGCAGTCACAGTGCTGAACGCGTACATAACGCAGCGAAAGCTTCGTGAACATATTTCAAGTGGAGAGCATCCTGCTTTTAAGGCTATAAGTGCTCCAATGTCACCACCAAATCAAAACAGCAGAATCAAGTCGACACCTGGAAGTCCAAGAGATGACAGCGTTGTTGCCATGAATGAACAGCTGAACGAAATGGCACTAGTGATTCAGCACACACAGACGTACGAACGTTTTATGCGCTCGAGAGTGGCGTTTGACGAAGGTATCGAAACAAATGGCCATGGAGAATATATAAAAGGCGATTCATCTTACGATGATGAAGGTCCAGTCATGCCACCTATCCACGAAAGTGAATTGGGGAAAACTGTCCAGGAGCTTGCAGGATTTTACTGTTTTTTTGAGAATGCATTGCTGAATCAGGCCGCTCAAAAGGCATTTCAATGGGAAGAACTGCATTATACATCGGCTGACAGCAATTTTGGAGGAGCTGATGGTGGCTTTGACGACGGCAATGGATATGAATGCCTGCCGATATCATCGGCCATCGATGAAATATTTTACGTAGCACGTAATTCTGGGCTACGTGCGTTGGCGACAGGCCATGTCGACTGCGCGGCTGGTGTACTCAATATGATCAACACGGTGCTTCGAGATGTCGTTGGTGACACAATGCGAAGTCGCATACGACACATGACAACTTCCGCGAAGATAGATAATGCTGTAGGGGGTGATGCGGCGGGTTTACTGGCTGCCTCCTCGGCGCAATTGCGTGATCAGATGCAGCAGCAATTTGCGAAGCTCAGCAAAACCGTCGGACCTGTTAGTGGTGTCAATAGCGGTGAAAGTGCTAATTTCACGCCAGTACAACGGAGAGAACATGCCCCCGAGGTCGTACTCAATAGCTTAGAAATTACTTTTGGATACATCGCACAACTGAAAGGCGAGTTTGAACACGAGCTGCCTGAAGCATTTCCGGAGGTGCCACAGCACATTTTGACCTGTTTAAATGCACTGGAAGACGCTTCCGTCGAACTTAAGCAGCTGCTTATGGCTTCCCGAAAAAAACTCCTTAAGCTCTTAGAGCCAAAGATCGCCAATAACCTTAATACCCTCCTGTCATCACCATCGTCAGCGTCTTCGGTCTTGAATGCATCAGCCACCAGTCTTTCTTCATCGGGAGCCTTATCTTCGAAGCGCAATGCCGAACACTACGAACTTAGCGAGGCCATGTTCACATTCAACGAGGCCAACGACCCATTCGCACATGAATTTGTTCGTGGACTTCGCTCTCTTTTGGGTTCTTTTCGTGGAAGTTTCTCGCATAGCAATTATCGCGCTGTTGTACAGGGAATCGCTTTGTACTCAGCCACTCAGCTCGAGTCTTGGTTCCTCTCGAGAGCCACGCGGGTAAATCAACTCGGTGCGCTGCAGTTTGATAAGGATGTTCGAGTCATTAGTACCTTTCTTAGCAGTGAAAGTGGTGCTGAAGAAGAAGTACGCAAGGCTTTTTCGACTCTTATTCAGCTCGCTGAGGTACTTAATGTAGACACCCCTCAAGATGTACTGGACATTTATGGCCGACAACATCGCGGGGTGGTCTGGACACTTTCAGCTGCTCAAGTCAAAGAAATCCTATCGCGTCGTGTTGAGTTCCCTGATGCGCTGATCAACAATTTGGTATTGAAATGAAAAGTTTTTTTCGGTGAACGATATTGAGTTGATACATTAGACCTTACCCATCGTTTGATCTGCATTCGTTCATTTGCAACTGTCAGATTAATTTTTCATTCTCGCTTATCGCTTATTGATTCAAAGCACGTATTGACCCACACGTCATTTAAATGCTCACGACACGCGATGTTAATCACTGTATTGTGCTGTCCTGTTTCTAAGCAATAGAATTTGCCTCATTCACCCACTTCGATAGATCCGAGTCCATAGCTCCTGCGACAACATCGCCTTTGTGAAAAATATTGGTAGCTATGATTCTCGAAAGGGGACATCATTAGCAAAAATCTCTAGTGTCAAAGGTGACAAATGTAGTCCAACTTTTTCGTAATGTACAGGCTATGAATTATTCAAGTTCCACCATGAGCGACGTTGATATATTAACCCATGTGTAATTATACAAGCGGTTTGGACAACCTCTGTCTGTATGGCGGCGCATGGACGCTACTCGCTACTGTTGCAATTTGTCTCCGTCGTAACAGATGACGCAGATTCCTGCAGTTTACTTTCTTGCCAATGCATCCACTCTGACGGTGTCTTCAGTCGCTGCACGAAACGATCGGGCACCGTTGGTGCCCAGAAACGTACATATATATGTCAGCTTTTGTCAATGATATACGCTTCGCTCTTCAAAATAGACTCCAGCACGCTACGTTTACAATCCTTTTCTGCCTTACAACTCCACGCTTAACTGTTCTAGCGTTACACGTCTCAAGTCGATAAGTTACGGTCCCGCCACAGCGTCAATTAAGCATGCATAAAAGTATGACTGACAAACACACAGCGATTGAGCCAGCCAGTCGGTGATTAAATCGCGAAGAAGGCATGATCATAAGTCGATCGATATGCCGGCTGCCACAAATCGAAAGTAGTAAAAATGTGGCATGTGGCAACGAAATGGGCCAAAATTCACAGACTCGAAAAATAAGGCAATTGCAAAAGCCTTACATTCGAGCCATTTAATTCTGTCAAAAAGTTTCAAAGTTCGACCTGGTATGCGAAAGCATAATCTGTATACAGCGCTAAGGTGCGTCGTGCACCCGGCAAAGCTGGATATGATGGAAATTGTTGCGCTTGAGCGGTGTCTACTTGATTGTGGTGCGACAATTCTAGAAGGCTCGAATGCCGCGAGCGGCAATGCTGTGACGCACATCATTTGCCATCCAGAAGCCTACGAGAGCTTTGTTAAACAACGCAATGAGCGCTTTGTGGCGCTGGTTCGACCAGAATGGGTCTTTCGAACGTTTTTGCTTCAAAGTCTACTTCCCGAGGACCGATTTAGCGCCAACCCGGCACTCATCTTTTCGACTCTAGCGATTTCGGCAGGCACTATCGGAAAAGACGCTCGAAAAGTTATCGATGGTCTCATCACGCATTTTGGAGGGCAAATTGTTGCTCAGCAAGAAGTGCATGGTGGAGCTACCCACATATTGCATCAGGAGGAAAATGTTTTAGACTCTATTGCTGTGGCAGAGCCGGAAGTAGAGGAATTTCAGAAAAAGTTGCAACTCCACTTTTTAAAAGCTAACCTTGGCCGATGTTTTGAAGCGTGGAGGTTGCATCTGTCAAATACACCAGCAAAATCAGATTACGCACTTCCTCGTTGTGTTCTCGCCTACATTGGGCAACGTGCGGGCTTAGACAAGCAGCACCACATCAAGTACACGTGGATTGAGGAGTGCGTGATGCGTCGGAGATGTATGCCGGAAGAGCCTTTTGCTTTTGGTCCCACCAAAGCTGTCGCAAATAATGCAAGTGAGAAATTGCCGAGCTGGAAGACTCAACCAGAAGTGCAAGTGGAAAATTTGGATCTTGGCAAATATGCCCTGGTGTATCAAGTGGGTAGGACAGAATTGGGTTCTGATCTCTCGATGGTCCGCAAGCTGTCCAATGAGGTAAGAAATTGTCACATATTCGCGATGGTGCTTAGAAAAGATGTCACGAATAAATTGCTTGTAGAGGATGGAGGCAATGAGAAAGTCACTTCACGGAGCTATTGTACTCGTTGCCCAGCACATAGCTCCACTGCTGCGAGAAAAACTGTCCGATATGCTAAAGACGGTGGACGCCAAGGTGGCAATCGTGCCTTTTAGTGATGCATATCAGGAAATTGTGGTCAAGGTGGTGGCGAATGCGTCGTTTGTCGTGTGCCGCTATTGTGGTGGTTTCGAATACAATGAGGCCTTGCGCCAAGACAAAAAAGTGGTGAGTATTTACTGGGTATTAGCAGGTCTCTCGCATGTCAGCGACCCAACTCCTTACAACGAGGCGATTCAGCGTCCAGTTCAGTCATATGGAAGTATTCATGGAATGCAATCTTTTGTTGTGACACTGTCCGGGTACTCGAGCCGAACAAACCCAACGCGAGAAGAACTACAAATTGCTATTCACGCTACAGGTGCGTGCATGCTTCCGGTCCTTTCACGAACGTACTCGACACACCTATTATGTCACGAAGCATCGGGTGAAAAGTACAAGAAGGCGCTCAGCTGGGAATTTGAAAATATTTTAAGTCATGAGGTACATACGCTTGATTTTCTTTTGATCTGAATTCGAACTTAATAGTTGTGCTAATTGTTACAAAAAGTGGATATTCGTATGCTTGTCGAGGTGGGAATATGTGTCTGAAGTTGCTTTTCATTATAAACACAAGAAAGATTTGTCGGACGATACAGACAGCTGGGCATCAGATCACAGTTCGAAGAAGATGGACAGTAAAAGGCTCACTTCCGAAAAGAATGCTCTCAACAAGACAAAACATGCAATTACACCTAATTTGAGAAGAATTAAGAAAGCAAAGAAAAGTGGCGAGGGTCGATTTGATGTCAATGGTATACTCGAAGAGATTGATAAAGTACCCACTCCTTGTGACAAAAAAAGTATAGCTGATCAAGAGGCAAAGACTCCAGCGACAGCATCCAAATTATTTGCGACTCCTAATAATGCGAAAATTGCTCCGTGCAGGCTGTTTGATACACCTACAAACACATGCCTTTCGCCGAACGTTGAGCAAAGGGCTCAAGAAAACGATGCGGAAGCAGCATTTGCAGTTGTGGACGAAATAGAGAAAGAACCTCCTGTTGCTATGAGAACTGGTGCAAACACCATGAATGAGCCTCCGCTTGTTATATGCCTCAGTAGCGATAGCAACGCTGACGAATCAGGCATTTTAAAAGCAGTCACCACTTCTGCATTAAACAAGAAGCTTGAAGTGTCAAAACAATCCGTTAGTTGCAAAACAAAAAAACGCAAACTTGCAGACTCGGAAGGATTGAAGACATCTAAAACAAGCAAGACATCAATGACGAAGCAGAAGAAGGATTTGGGTGCAGTTAAAAAGTCATATGCAGCACCTTTACCTGATTTAAAACGCGTTTTTTTACTCACTGGCGATCGAGGCCAAGCAGCAAATCTTACATCGATCATTACTTCACTGGGTGGAAGCGTTAGTGACTTTGGTCGCATATTTGACAGCAGCTGCACCCACATTATCTGCAGTGAACTCAAGCGTACAGAGAAGTTTGTCGCTGGGTGTGCGGCTGGCAAGGTTCGTATAATTCTTCGGTCGAAATTGAACTTCTTCCTTGACTCATTACTTTTTGTCATCACAGTGGATACTGAAGCCTTCCTACTTAGAAGCCTGTTCTCTCGCAAAATCATTTATTGATGAATCCGCCTACGAATGGGGAAGCCATGAATCGGACATAGAGAATGTTGATACGCGTATTTGGCCCGAGGCGTGTGCATACTGGCGTAAGAAGCGCGCCGGCGGACACGCTGGTGCTTTCTATAGATGGCGCTTTTTTATACATGCAAAGTGCGTACCTCCTCAAGATATGTGTGAGCGCATTATTCTCGCTGGTAGAGGTGCTGTAATTCCGCTTACGAAGACTATCAACTACCAGAGTTTGTCAAAAGAGTCAACACCTGAAGCTCCTGTCGTAGCGCTCTTTTCCCCTGATGTTACGATGCGTGACCCCTTGATGAAGAAACTCAAGACGCACAAAATCGAATGTATCAAAGCTCCTTTCCTTATCGACTTCATAACAAAAACGCAATCTCCACCAGTCAAGCTTGCAGACTTCTACCTATAGAGCTGATTGCTTTGTCATGTGGTTTAGATGAATTGCGCCTGAAATGGGTCTAATCGTCCAGTTCAATGAGATCTGCCTCATCCTTGTAGATCTGTCCTCGGAAAGTATAGACACAAAGAATGGAGGCAATTTACCCGACGAAACGTGTATAAAGCTAATATATCAGTGCTCACCTTTCCGAATCGCTCATAGCCACCTTGCAGAATGAGTACCCGTGGCTTGTGCGTAGCTCCTTCAAGAATTACTTCCATTCGTGACATGAATCTTTTGGCACAGGATGGACCGCGTACTTGACTCATCATGCAGTGGAACACAACGGCGTCTTCGTCCTTGTACATGCCAACGAGGGCATCCACGTCGTCGTCGTCCATAAAATTGTCTTCAGTGATGTTCACCGCAGAGCGGATATGTCCACCAGCATAATCGGTGTCACGCACATCGATGATTACGGGGCGTTTAATAGACGAATTTGTATCGCGCAGCATATCGACTAACGCCGACGGTTGAATGTACTGAAGTGACTCCATGCAGTCGATCTGAAGCGACAAAAACAATATTTGATGAAAAGCTTTTGCGTCACCTTACACAGATTATTTTACGACGTGATGATAGAAAGACACTTGACAAAGTCAGACAGAAATGTAGCTAGTCATCTAAAGCATTTTTTTTCGAATGATTACTATAAGGACTTGATGAGGTGAGCCTTAAGTGCTTCTAAGGCCTTGAAGCGGTGCGAGATCTTGTTCTTAGTGCTCTTTTCCATTTCGGCGTATGTCTGGTCATAACCATCTGGCTGAAAGACCGGATCCCAGCCAAAAGTAGTTGGCCCTCGGGCTAAAACAATTTTGCCGTGCGTTTGGCCAACGAAAATTTGTGGTTCGGTCCCCGCCGACGCGTAGGCAAATATGCACTGGGCATACGCGGACTTGTCCTCGTAAGCAGCCAGCATATTGTTGAGACCTTCATGGCCCGTTTTTTCCAAAAACCACTTGATATAAGGGCCAGGTAGCCCTTGAAGCGCATTATAGCAAAGTGATGTGTCCTCCACAAGCACAGCGCCCTGAACCTCCTTGGTCGCGAGGCGGCATTTCTCCTTGACAATATCGACAGGCTCACCCTGCAACTCCGGTAAATTTACAGCCTGATTGCGCAACTCGAACGGAAAATCAGCACCTAAGATAGCTATAACCTCTTTGAGCTTGTTCGAGTTGCCAGTCACAAATGTCAGCACAGGCTTGCTTGGCATCATGATACACCGCAAATTTGCGTCGAATGTCTCGTGATGTGTAAATAACACAAATTGAAGGTTCAAAATCTTGCAATCTTTAAGCGACGTATATGCTGCCAGCCTTTCAGGTGCATCTGCACCAGCCTATTCTTGAGCGCGTGGCTCAAGTAGGAAAATTTGATGGCCGCCACCCTGCACTGGCATGTGGCACTACTGCCGGAAAAGTGTTTATCCATTCGCCGAACGAAAACACATTTCAAAACAACTCCTTGGTCGGTGACAATGAGCAAAGCAGCATGCGCTTCCTTAAAATCAATCGGACTGTAACGGCTTTGGCGGCAGGCAAGTTTGAGACGACGGATCAGGGCGATACTCTTGTAATTGGAACGCAATCAAGTCTACTAGCGTACGATGTGGAAAAAAATTCCGATATCTTCTACAAGGACGTGCCTGATGGCGTAAGCGCTATGCTATTTGCGTCAGCGCCACGAGCAACGTCACCCTTAAGCTCCTCGTCACAGATGGTTGTGGTGGGTGGCAATTGCTCACTGCAAGGTTTTGGTCGGGACGGCGGCGAGCTTTTCTGGACGGTCACTGGAGACCATGTTCGTGCGCTGACGGTGTGTGACGTGACCGGCCATGGACGCAGTGAACTTGTTGCTGGGTCAGACGATTTTGAAATCCGAGCTTTTCAGAATGAAGAAGCTGTATTTAACTGCACGGAGACAAGTCAAGTGCTCGCTCTCACATCGATAAAAAAGCAATTTTATGGCTATGCTCTGCAAAATGGTACGGTAGGTGTCTACAAAGGAAAACATCGTGCATGGCGTATCAAATCAAAGAACATCCCAATAGCAATTCACAGCTTTGACATCGATGGTGATGGAGAGAAGGAGATCGTCATGGGATGGAGCAACGGCAAGCTTGAGTCGCGGAAGATATTGAATGGAGAAGCTGTGTACAAAGAAATGTTTACTTCACCCGTGGCGGCACTTGTAACAGCTGACTATCGCATGGATGGCAAAGATGAAATTATCTGCTGTTCTGCAGACGGAGAAATTCGAGGCTACTTCACAGCTACAGGTGATTTTTCTGCACCAGGGACCTCAGACAACGGAGCGAGTGATAAGTCTAGCCTGGAAGAAAAAGAGGTGGCGAGATTATCCAAACATCGTGCCGCACTCCATATTGAAATGAAAGCTTTAGAGGCCCATCAATCTGGAACTGCTACCGCTACTGGAAAAGGCCTAAAAATTCGAGCCGACACAAAGATCAAGGTACGATCACTGGCAAGCAAAAGCGCCAAGAACTTCGAGCTTGAAGTGTCGACTGAGAACGACGCAGTTATCAAGATGGTGATTGTTTTTGAGTCCGAGGTCGGCATCTTCGCTGGTGAATCGTATGTCGTTCGTCCAGCGACCATGAGCTCAACCGTTCGATTTCCGCTCAACGTTGATAAACCTGTTGCAGCAAATCTCGAATTTAAAGTGCTCGTAGGCTTACGAGGTCATCACACCTCCTTTCACGTGTTTGAGTGCAGCTTCAAGGTGCCAAAATTCGCTGCATTTCATCATATTACTGGTGAAACGAGCCTGCAGACCAACCCTGAAGGATTTGTGCGCTTTAGTACGCCTGTCAAACCACAACAAATATATTCGTGGTTGGCTGACGCCTTTTGTCTAGCAGAAACAATACCCGATACTTCTGAAGCAAACTTTATGTTTCGCTCTCTTCGCGACGACTCGCGGCTCAACATTTCCGTCACACCACACGACACCGAACTTCGAACTGATAACATGGAGCTGGCGGCAGAACTTGTACAGCACATGTGCGCCTTTCTCGAATGGCGCGAACTTGAATCAGTGGCAGAATTTCCACGTCAAATGAAGGACTTTCGGAACTTGCTTGTGAAGGTGGATGAGAGTAACGCGATCCGGCTCAAACTTACAGGTGAAATGGCTGACGACTCCAATCAAGTCAAAAATCTCATCATTCGTGCTGAAGACTCGCGAATTTTGAATGACATGTACGTATTGTTTTAGCATGTCTGTTTCCTATTTTAAAACGCCGCTGTCCTTACGATACTTCCACAGGCCACGAATGCGACAATTTTACTCCGAATTGTTCTCTCTCAACAACCAGCTATTAGGTGAGTATACAAAGCGGAGTACAAACCATCAAGTGCTTCTCGATGCTCTTAAAGAGGTGAATAACATGATTCAGCTTGCTGCACGGTTGCGCTTCGGTAGTGCGAAATCTACGGTCATTGCAGCCTGTCGGAAGGCTATTAAGAACAACAATATTCACGGACTGTTTCACATCGTGAAGACTGGAAAAGAAGAACATTAGTGGCAATCTAATATGAACCATTGCAAGCTGAAAATACAGTCAAAGCTGAAAACTTTATTTTACATGTTACTACTGTAATCAGGGCAGTGAAAATGTTAAGTCAAGGAGATAAATCACTCTTTGTATCCTTGTCATCGTTGCCCATGCCAAAAGCTTGCCGATGCTTGCGCTTTACGATTCTGCTCCTGCTCAAATTGTCTGAAGCAGGCGCAGCTAACGCGCTAACCTCATCATCAAAAGAAATTCGCCTAACAACCTGTGGTGACCTACAATTACTGGACAGGTTCAATCAGATGTTCGTTAGCTGACGTATCGCTGTGCCATCACTACTTACATTGTCTTAGGCCTATCTTGTTCTGAAAAGATTTGATCCTGGTATTGCTTCTCCGTATGCTGCTGCGCTGCCACTGCCTCATCAACTTTATGTTCGGGATCTGATACAAAAGCTTCATCGTACGTGCGTTTGTTTATAATCTTAAGATCTACAGCCACGGCATTGTCCAAAACGTGCTCGGCACGATCATTTCGAATTCGAGGATGTTTCATAAATTGTTGTGTGGTACCAGCGCCATCATTCGATAATCCGGCGTCCGATTTGAACGCTTGGGAGTGTTTCCGCTTTAATAGGGTAGTGGTTGCAGCCGCAGAGCCACCTTTTGCGAAGGAGACGCAAAATACTTGGAAATCGGACAAAGATTCACGTTGCTCACAGACCTTTGCGTGTTCATCTTCAGCGCAATTATTTATCTGTTGATCTAGCTGTTCTATCGACGCATCGGGAACTTGATCTTTTGGATTTGGTTTTGGAGAGATTGCATGCACTGAATGCTTTTCACCTGATGCAGCGCGAACTCCTGACACATCACTTGGTGCAGATGTAGCTGAAGGATTGAATACTTTTCCTCTAGAGCGAGCCTTGATCACCGCATTTAAATGAGTAGCAAACTCACTATCGACTTCTCTCTCAACATCGTCCACCAACTGCACCGGTCTTTTTCCTGCACACATCGGCGGTTCCCGTCGCCTATCTAGCGGCTTACTGAGCGCTCTTGCTCGGTCTAGCTTCTCTATGTCATCTGGCGTCTCGTTGTATGAGACATCAAAAGAGAAACCTTCATCAAAAGAGAAACCTTCAAATTGTGACAATCGAGTTTTTAAAGACTCTGTTATCGCCAACGGCAGTCGTCTCACTGAGGTATCACGCCGCCCTTTTTCCCACTTTATGTTACTATCTCTGTTCTCACCCTTTTCTAGATAGCTTTGGTTGTGATGCTTCATTTTACTTGTCTTACGCAATAGTTTTGACCTTGGCGATGATAACGTAGACGCCTTAGTACACTGCTTGGATTTCGCTATTGATAAATGCATCAGTTTTTGTGGCGAGGCTTGAGGCGTTTCGGCTAGTGCTCGTTGTAGCGCCGCAATTTTTTGTCGTAACACTTTTCGTCGCTGTTGATAATCTCTGGTGGACAGCGGAACGACAGATAGTCGTAGAGGCAAGCGCGGTATCTTTAAGGACACCTGACGCTGAAATATCAAGGGCAGAATTAACTTGAATATCAGCACAAACGCACCATAGTAGAGGCACACCCGGAATAGTTGCGAATCTTCCTTGAATGGCAAAAGCATCATATCGCCTACTATTTTCTGCTTTATTAATTAATCGGTCGAATTTATTTCTTGTGGTATCACTCAACAAAAGCAATAGTAAAAACTCCTGACGTTTACCGGTATTTGTCCATAAAGTCGGCATGAAATTTGGTCATCTTTTTGATCACAGCGTCCACAGCCGCCTCAGGTGGCAGTATCGTCGTACGAAAGTGCCAGGTTCCCTCCTTTTGGCCAAATCCTGAGCCAGGCACCACTACAATCCCTGTCTCATCTAGCAATCGCATGCAATAGAACGCGTCCGGCGCCATACCTGCTTCCTTGGCGGCCTCAACAGCATTCAACGGAAGCGTGACATTTGGAAATGTATACATAGCACCCTCTGTCTCATTACAGGTGACACCCTCTAGTTTGTTCAAGGCCTCAACGAGCTTCATTGCACGACGCTTGAGCGAGTTTAGCGTGTCGTCCCGCTGTTCAATGTAGCGCTGGTACGATGCATCTCCGGGCTGCGGTGGATTGGTCATCATTCCAACCATTAGCTGACCCTCGATATTTGAGCACAAATTTATGGACATGAGCTTGTAAAACTGATCTTTTGCACTCTCATCAATGTTGACTAGTTCCATGTAGCCACCGCGGCGACCACACTCGCCCGTGAAGCCCTTGGAAGTCGAGTGAAACGAAATAAGCTCTACATCATCATACTCTCTACCCAAGTCACGAAGAACTTTTTTAAACGAGAAAAATTTCTTGCCTTCAGCGTACACATTTTCCTGGTATACTTCATCAGCTAAGATAAGGATGGACTCCTTCTTGCAAAACTTGATGATCGCCTCGATGTTCTCTTCCGACAGACACTGGCCAGTTGGGTTTCCTGGATTGATCACAGCCATTGCACGCACAGTCTTACCCGCATCACGAGCTTCTTTGACTGCGCGTGCCAGCTCCGCGGCATCAAGGCCCCAGGCATTTGCCTCATCCAGGTAGTACCCAGTCAGAGTACCACCGTTTATAGCGATGGTCGCTGAGTATAAAGGATATTGAGGAATGGGAGCCAAAATTGCGTCGTTTTCATCGCGGATCAGAGACAGTAACGAATTCTGTACAGCCGGACTGGCTCCGTCTGTGAGAAAAATGTCCTCGGGATCTGCCGAGTGGCCGTCGCGACGTTGTAGGAAGCGTGCAACCTCCTCGCGCACGATAGGTGTGCCTTTACTGTGGCCATAAGCACCAGTGCCGCCCACAATATTGTCAATATAAAACTTGGCGCGTGCAATTGCATCTGGTGGGAAAAGCTTCTGCGCTTCTGGTCGATCTACCATGCCAGGTACATTGACAAGCGCCAGCACCTGGCGGTGAAACTCAATAGGCTTCTGTTCGAGCACTTGTGGGTTTCCAATGTTGCAAGGAATAATTTTGTCAAAAGGAAGCGATTTATCACCACGGGCCAGACGACTGTCGTACTCGTTAGAGCGCAGCACCAGCGCGCCACGCACTGCATACTCGGCCTTTACAATGTTGGGATTGATTGTGTTTGCGGTGAGTACAGCAAAACTGCGGCAGATGACTGGGAGGAGGCGTGCTTGTTTAATGGCCTGGGAAGCAAGCATATCGTGTGTTTAAAACGGGATCTTCTAGGTCTGACGTGGCTTGAAGAATAGACACCGCGGTATCATACCATCATGTGTCCATGTCTGATTCATCAATAATAAAACTACAACACCTAAATAAATGAGCCACGTCAAACGTTTATTCTGAGGTTGAACTGCATATTTGTAGGATGCTTGGCCGTTTTGTGAAAGAAATATTATTTAAACATATTTGATACTGGTCATTTCCTTGATACTATCTATTATGCAGTAGAACCTGTCAATATAGAACCTGTACAATAAACAGTCCTCTATAAATTAAATAAAAGTCATGATCTCAAGTCGGAGCGCTCACAAAATTTGAAGAAAACCTCTCAAACCTAATAATAGGAGTTCTGCATTAAAAAGTCTGGACTTCATCACAGCCCTCCGCAATATGAAGAACAAGGCTGGTCTGATCAAGAAACAATAGCAGAAGCAACAGTCCATCTCCGACTTCTTTTCGCTCGTCTATAACGCTTTGTTAATCGAGCAGTAGTTTGTATGATTGTCTATATGTCATATATATGTCCTCAGTGATTCAAGCATCGTCGGTGCCTCAGAAGGTGTAACCTTGACTTGCTCAGCGCTGTCATCATCTAGACCCTCAACATCGTCACCATTGGTTGTTTTGACCTGCAGGCCCTCATCATGAGCACTGGTTTTACACAGAACAAGAGCTTGGGGAAGGAAGGAAAGGAACCAATTCCTCAAGAGCAAGAAAGTGAGCCTTTTCATTTCCAAGGTACAGCTTAAGGGACCAATGTAGAAGTACTGTTCTGCAAAGGCGTTTTCTTTGCCACTTTCCCAATAACTTTATTAGAATGGAAGAGCTCCTTCTCTTGAATTTCTCTATGAGTTTCGCCGGAGATTTTACTATTTTGTTCAATTTGCCAATCCCTCGAACCTTGATTGAACAGTGGCTTCCTGTAACTGTAACGTGTTTCACGTGCTCTGTATGAAGGGTGTGGTCACACAAGATGGTGTGACCACACAATGGTGTGAATTGCACTGGCTACACTCTCAAAAACAAGTCAGTACGTGGCTGGAACAGCCAGTAGTTATATATTTAATTAGGTGTTACTTTCAAATCAGAAGAACCTATTGATTTAGATATAGGCGACTTTGCCGCAAATAAAACCGAAAGATACAGTTTTCATTTGAGACGGAAGAGCTAATTAGACTTGGATTAGGGTTGTAGTTACTCTTGGAGTAAGTGGATTGCGATCGTACTAGTTAGAAGTACAGAACGAAAGTCACAGACCCTAACAAAGCTTGTAACGGGATCACGCGTATTCAGAGTGTAAAGGAGATACACGTACCCTTGTATGAAAGGGAGGATTACACAAAATGACGTGACCGTACAAAGATGTGGATTATATAAGTTGGTGTAACTACACAATGGTGTTGCTACACCGTCAAAAGATGCCACTACGTGGCAGGACTGCCAGTAATAATGCATATTAATTAGATTTTACTAGTTACTTAGAATAAGGTTTTAGATATAGGCGGCTCTGCCACATATAAAACAATTAAATACAGTTTCAATTATAAACGGAAGAGCGGCTTTACCTTGCACTCTGGAGGTAGCGGATTGCGATCCGCTACACTCGAACTGGTTCTTGTATAGAACATAAGGTCGGTGACCTTAGTAAGCTTCCTCTAAGCAAAGAGCTCAGGCAGCCCCGCATTAATTGGTAGCACTCGCAGTCAATCTACGACTGATTCAATGCTCTGCTAGAGCACCTACAGCAGAAGCAGTCAGCGTCGACTGCGTCCATGACGCCACCGTCGACGACGGATGACTCCTCCCTGCTCAGGCCGCTCATGATGAGCTTTAAGACCTTCGAGGGTAACGCTGAAGAGAATTTCTTGCTCTGGGTAAGAGAGGCGGAGATGGCTATGGCATGAGCCATGCTCCAGAATGAGCAAGAACACGTGGCGCTAGCTACCTCCAAGCTCGGGGGTCGAGCGCGAAAATGCGCACTAATGTGCGGGGCTTCGGTTGAAGCGACATTTCCCTCCTGGAAGGAGCTGAATCGTCAACTTTTGTGAGTGTTCTCGTCACCTACGAAGGCATATCGCGTGCGATCGCGTTTCCTAGCCGCTCGACAGGGCAAGAAGAAGTTAATGGACTTTGTCCAAGAGTTGAGAAGTGACATTTCCGGGATGGCAGCCGATCCTCTCCCAGAGGCATTCGCAGTGACCGTTTTATGGAGGGCCTCTGCGTTGGCGTAACCAGGTTGGAGGTCTTCCGTGTGCATCCGCCTTTATTTGAAGGAACGGTAAATGTCCAAATTCAACTTGAAGTCGACGCGACTTGGTTGGAATGCACACACTCGGAGCTAGTCGAGCGAGCCTGGGCCAATGGATCTCAGCTAACGAGGACGGCGAGCTCCGAGCTGCCGAGCTGCTTGAAGCAACCGACGGTGTTCTGTCTGTGAGGACACCCGTCACCTTCAGACTGTTTGTCCCTAGTGCAAGGCGCGTAAAGGTTCATCGAACCGACGTTCCGCTTCAAGCAAGTCTAGTTGTCGCGGGGAATCGAGAGCACCCACTAAGAGCGGGGTGTCCAGCTTGGAGATGACTAAGTTCTGTTGAACCTCAAAAAGGTAGAGGGCAGCATGGCCCTCTTCTTTTTTTTCTTTTCTTTTTTTTCTTTTCTTTCCTTTCCTTTCCTTTCCTTTTCTTTTCTTTTCTTTTCTTTTCTTTTCTTTTCTTTTCTTTTCTTTATCTCTTCTCTTCTCTTCCACCTCGAAAAACTCCGTGCTCTCAAACACGGAGCGCGTATGCAAGCCGGGCTTGCTGGTCGTAAAAGCGACCGTGAGGGCTTTAGAAAGTCATGGAAGATCCTTATCGATTCCGGGGCGTCGGGCAATTATGCTCGACACTCCACGATCGAAGGAAATCAGTTGTATGCTGAAGCGCTGAAAACGCGGTTAAGTGACACAGTCATTGTTTGCTTAGCGACGGGGTCCATGTGGACTTCGGTGTCACGTTTCTTGACTTCGATAGCCTGGAATTCTGCGTAGTCTTAGGCTTGGATGCAAGGTATGATCTTATCCTTGGTACGGCATGGTTGGAACATCATGAGCCATGGTTTGATTGGAGGTCGAAGACTTGGGCGCTACGCACAATGGTGGAGCTTTGGTGAGTCATGAACTCACCTCCGCTAGGAAACAGAAGCGTGATTGGCGCGGGGACTGGGTCGGGACGGTTACTGTGCAGGATATCGGAGTATATGAGCGATCGAACACCGAAGGGGTTTCGGACAAGAGTCCCTAGCGTGGCTTGCGGGCTGAACGTGGAGTGAAACGTAACCTACTGAGAACTGCTCAAGTATCAAAGCAGTTGTTGCATGCAAAGAGTGGTATCGACGGATGAGGCCCTGTTGATGCGCGAGGGGTGGCACGTAATCCACTGAGCAATGCTAACAGTTGTTGCGCGCCGAGAGTGGCATGGTCGGGCGAGGTCCGAGGCATCTTAGGCTAGGTCATTTCGATGCGCGTGGAGTGGCACTTTATCTAATAGACGAAGACTACGCAAATTGCCGCTCTTCGTCGGACGTTGTTAATAACATCAAGGCTCCGATGGAGCAGGGAGTGGGGGTACTGGACGAAGCCGTGTGCGTGTTCCCACTGGTTTCGACGAGACGTAAAACCTCTATAGAGAGGAAAGGATGATGCTGTATATTAGCTGCAAGACGCAGGGCTATAACCCTGACCCAAGGAGTGTATACCGCACAGCTATACACCCTTGTCAACGCTTTGACGGGAAAGGAAGACAGTGACATCACCCTCGAAGCTATTCCCGCGGTGGATGCTCTTGTTGAGCTGGGCGAGATGTCCTTCGAAGAGTTTGGCGGTGCCGTGAAAGCAGGTGGTCTAGCCGAGGTGGTCATTATACAACCGAACGATGAGATGAACTCGTCGTCCCTTCTAGATGAAGCTGTCATGGAGGACACCAAGAGGGTGCTGAGCGCACGAAGTAAATCTTCGATAATGATGAATCTCTTGGATCCGTTCTATACTTTAATAAAAAAAATTCAAGATGTCGTCTTCAAAGATCCGCCGTCGGGTCTACCTCCGGACCGAGGTGTGCGTCATGAGTTCAACCTGGTTCCGGGAACCAAATACTGCGTAACTCGCTGCTAGCCCCGACCCAAGGAGCATTCAGACGTTATTGGCGCCTTCATCCGTGCAAAACACAACGCAGGAGTGGTTCCTGAGAGCAAGGCTTCCTATTTGATCGTCTTGTGTCTGGAAGCCGAACTGCACGTGATGAATCGTTCACGTTTATAATAAGCTGAGGGCTGCCACCCTTCCGGCACAGACGCCGATTTCTAGGAAGGATGTCCTCCATAACAACACGCTTGAATTTACAAAGTACAGTGCTTTCGACTTGGTCGATGGGTATTACCAATTGCTCATGAAAGCGGGTGATATTCTGCTGACAGCGGTGATTACACCGAGAGGGGTGCTCTGGGAGGGGTCGGTGATGCCCCAAGGGCTATCAAATACACCACCAACATTGAATCGTCTTGTGTCGCAATTGTTCAGGCCCCACCGGGCGTATGCATAAACATACTTCGACGTAATTTTCGTCCACAGTCGTGCGTGGCACGGGAGGACAGATAAGGAAGACCACATCATCCATTTGAGTGCGTTGTTTGAGTACATGCGTACGAATAAGCTGTATGTTAATGCAGATAAGGGAATCTCGGCACGGAAGAAATTCTTTACTTAGGGTGCTTCATTGGAAAGCGTGGCCTTCGAGCGGACCCCGCTTAGGTCTACGCCAATGAAGACTGGCCGGTTCTAAAAACCCAAAGCAACTTGCGTAAGTGGCTTGGCCTACTGCAAGTACTCGAATTTGAGGAAAAGAATTTGCGAAGGTATTGTCAGTACCGTACAAACGTCATGACTTCATTTTCGCTGGCTTTGGCCTTCGCATACTCGACTTCTCGGAACTGCTGGGACCAGACACACCTTCGAGCAAATGTGCGCTGCTGTGATATGGCTTGTTCCGATAAAGTGCTAGCACACGCATCCCAAGCCTGACTGCAATCTGCGACGCCTAGACAGCAATAATTGACATTAAATACATGTTACCACGGATGGAAGTGTCGAATGTCTTTGTACAACGTCCGACGCACTACACATGAAATCGACCAACAAGCGCCCCAAGATGTGCGATTGGGACCCTCATTGGGGCCCAGGACACATTCTAAGACAACAACGGTGAGCGTTGACGTGAGAGCCCTTGGTGTTTGTT